AGGAAATACCCTTCACATAAAAAAGTTCCCATAACACTGACAAAATATTTGCTATTAGTTTCCAAGAATTTGCAAATCTTGAAAGAAAAACACCCCAAATAATCTTAGCTCCAGGTACAGTGTCAGGGAACATGTCCTTAATAATAACATTAAAAGAAATCAAAATTGTCAGCATGATAACCTTTTAACATCTGCACAGAGAAATGGTGATGAAGTGTGGAAAGCTGTATAGACCTCGTTGCCTTGAACACCGCGACTTTCCAATGTTACGGTTGTGATGATGATTATGATGATGATGATGATGATGGTGGTGATGATGATGGCTCCATATACAAGTCATAAAGAACTCTATATCCTAAGAAAGTCAAACCCAGAAGACTTGAAAGATTTGGCTCTGGTTGGCCAAGACGGAGATATACTTGACTGATTGAGACAGCCACGTCTACTATTAACGAAGTATAATTTTGTCTAAACTTCTAATATATTCCTTACTTTTTCATGAAGCATTCAAAATTATTTCAAGATTAATTTATTTGGAATGAATTTTGAAAAATCTAATTCTCTCATAAGTTTGTCATTGGTCAGATAAGGCGAACTGAGCGTGTTTTACTTCTTTTTTCAATTCGATATTTAAGACCCGTTGTCTCTTGACCATATGGCATTGTTCGGTAGTGATAATTTTGTGGGGGAAATCGCTGATTGGTTGTTAGCTATTTGGGCCGCTTAAGGCTAGCGCCTGATCGAGGTATTAGCTTTTCCCTCTGAATGTGCCATGAGCACAAGTCAAAAGCAGCGTCTACGCATACAGAAGAGCTAACGCGTTAGCTTCTCTTTTTTTTTTTTTTTTACGGGAATTAGCCCACCCGGGCACAGGTCAAACGACCCACAACGGAGCCATACTCTGTCAAATGCTTTGGAGATGTCGAGAGCCACGACAAAAGTTTCCCCATAATCCCTAAGAGAGGATGACCAAAGATGGGTGCAGTAGGAGAGCAGATCACCAGTAGATCTTGCCTGGCGAAAGCCATACTGGTGATCCGACAAAAGAGAAAGGCGTTCAAGGTGACGGAGAAAATGGGAGTTCAAGATAGTTTCGAAAATCTTAGAGAGGGATGAAGTTAGGGCAATGGGGCGATAGTTAGAGGGATTAGAATGGTCACCCTTCTTCGGGATGGGCTGAACCAAGGCATGCTTCCAAGAAGAAGGAAAAGTTTGGGTTTTGAGGCAAAGGCGAAAGAGGCGAGCAAGCACAGGGGCCAGGGCTTCAGCACACTCCCTCAGAGCACGAGGGGGTATTCCGTCCGGTCCATGCGCCTTACTCACATCCAACCTGGATAACACACCGGCAACCCTGCGAGTGGAGATTATAGGAAAGTGCATAGGTTCAGTAGGAGGTGCAGGGGTAGGAGGGATAGAGTGGGAATCGTCTAAGGTGGAATTAGAGGAGAATAAGGTGCCAAAGAGGTTGGCTTTGTCAGGGGGAGAGTTGGCTATAGAGTCATTGGGGCGGAAGAGGGGAGGAAAAGAAGGTGTGCAGAAGTTCTTACAGATGTTTTCAGTTAAGGACCAGAAGGATTTACTAGAGGAGGAATTAGTCAGGACAGCGGTCTTTCTTTTAATAAAATTCCGCTTGGTCCTACGAAGAATAGCCTTACAACGATTCCTAGAAGTAATGAAAGAGGTGTGGGTAATAGGAGAAGGAGATAATTTCATAGCTCGATATGCCCTATCTCTCACCCTGCAAGCAAGAGAGCAGGAGCGATCAAACCATGATTGTAATGTGAAAGTTTTGGTAGAAGATGGAATAAATGCACTCATACCGCCCTGTATAACCCCAGCAATGCTGTCAGCACATACCGAGGCGTCCCGAGTGGAAAAGCAACATTCATCCCAAGGAAAGTCGGTGAAGAATTCTCGCAAGGATTGTCAGCTTGCCCTCCGATAGTGCCATAGTTGACGTTTAGAGGGGGTGGGGGAGGTGGTCGTGCCCAGTTTGATTTAATAGAATTAAGGTTGTGATCAGAAGACCCTAAAGGGGCAAAAATTGAGTATGAATAGTGTGAAGGGTTAGAGGTAAAACAAAGATCAAGAATGTTAGCAAGTTGATCGTGTCGATCAGGAACGCGTGTAGGGTGTTTGATTATTTGTTCCAAATCATTAAGTAAGGAAAAAGAGAGTGCCTCAGCTCCACCTGGGTCATCCCTTGCAGAGCCAAGCCACTTTCTGTGATGTACATTGAAATCCCCTAGGTAGCTGTTAATGAATATGATGTATTTCTTTGTGTATGAACCTCTGTCCTGCGTGGCAGTGAGAACTGATACCACCCTCAGTGTCAAGACCTGACTGAATTACTCAGAATAGGCAAACTGTAATCCAAGCTTTGTCAATAAATTTGTTAAACTAATTTAAAACATCATTCACTTTATCTGCGCCAGTCACACCCAAGACCTGGAGGTGTACAGTAGCTAAAAAAGGTACCTGATAGGGTGGGTCCGATGACTTTCACAATTATACGTACAACTCGTGATGTCTCGGGAGGGTAGGTATGCGTGTCTTCACCCACCGCCATTCAGTATCCAACACAGGGAGTGAAATGACATATACATACGGTGACAAATGCTCAGGGCACCTCATAACAGTCAGAGATGGTGACTTGGTGGCTCCCAGTTGTTATGTATCGTAATGCTATCAGAGCCTGAAGGTGTGATGTTACTGAACAACATGTACACGAGATCTTAACCTAATTACTTTGCATGTCATATTTACCTTTTTTCTGATAAAATGGTTTCTATGCAATTCAAAAGGCTGGCTATAGCCAAAAAAAATATGGTTACCTTTGTTATCAAGAGCAACTTTATTAATAAAGTGGCGCCCCTAAACTTAACATTTACCCTTAGTACATATTGATCATTACTCGAGGCTAAGAAAAAAAATAAGACAAACATAATATGTCTGATTTTCATCATAAGGTGGTCTAGTGGTCTAATAATAATAATAATAATAATAATAATAATAATAATAATAATACGGTAATAATACAACCTGCTAGTATTTACATATAAATTGCTGCTGAATTTGTCTTATTGATCACATAAATATTATTTTATATTAAACCAAGTTGGAAACTCCTACAGTTTGTAATTCTTCTTTTCGAAATGTTATCATTATTCAAGACATGTACTGTCTAAGGTTCATTAAGCTTAATAAGATACTCTGTTGCATCCTGTCGTTGCCAAAACACGCCTTCTATCATATAATTATTATAATATATTATGTTCGACATTTCGTCGTTAGTTTGAAAATCATATAAAATCATTTAAAGAATTGTCCATCAGCTTAAGCTGCAGCAGTCAGGCAGTGTGTACTACATCTTCCCAAATCACAGAGGATAAACGTGTGTTCATAAAATAATAATAATAATAATAATAATAACAAATCGCCCAGCATTTCTTTAATAACTTTTCATTTTGTATCTCTTTTTCATGGCATTAGTACAAAAATACAATGCCGGGTCTTTGTAGGGGTTGGCAGGTGCTCTCCGCACCCGCGCAAGGGGGGCCATGCTAATCTTCTCTGTATCGTTCCAATTTTAGTATACAGTATGTACTGCCGAAGCAAGTACGCCGCACCCGCAATAAAATTCTTTAGTTTAGCTCAGAGGTCGGGGATGGCGGAGCAGGTCCCGCTTTTGTCTTGAATAATATATCCATTAAACCCTCGGTACACAAGGTGGTAGCATGGACAGCATTGCACTCGATTATCTACATTTCCTCAGTTGTAAAGGTAGGTATTTACGGTGTGGTGAACTGGGGACGCCTTAGCCACCAACTGTGCTGCTCAGATTGTCTGTGAATTGGAGATGTTCCAAGATCTCTACAGTTGTAGAACCAGTTTTATTTGCACCATTTGCAAGGTTTACTTTTTAATAAGATCATCTGGTTGACTTATGCAGTTCCAAAGACTACGACATTTATGTTGGTTTAAACTCATGTTATTCCAAAGTACTATAATTCTTTGATTACAAAATTCATTGCAACGTTAAATGCTTATGTAGATTAACTATTGTCATTAGTTAAATACTGTAAGGTCAATATATTGAACTCTTTGCTTCTTTCACATTTACAATAAAACAAGATAGTCAAAAGGTTATGAGAACGACAGACTTGATACACGCCTTGCCATCCTTAGGGAGGCGCCTTAATTGACCCCCTTCGTCCTTTCGGTTCAAGTTTTTCGTAAGTGGGTCCTTAGTCATCATGCAAATTGAAACAAAAGAGGTACTTTAGTTTTGCCCTGTTTTTACACTGGGGTAACACAGCCTTGAAGTATTGGGGCAAAGGTGATTATTGTTTATAGCGACCTACCTATGTACATTAAAAACTGTGTGGTACCCGAGAGTGGGCGAGCTGAACCCAACCCCTCAAGGGTCACAGCGGCGTGCAGGGAACGTTGAGCTACAATAGAGTTAAGGTGGGTTAGCTTTTTAGCCCATCGTGGTCCAGTGAATAAGCTTCCTGCCTATCATTCGTGGTGGTCCGGGTTTGATATCCGCCACTCAGAGGTGATTATTGAATACATTGATTCAGTTTTAAGTGAAACTTTATTCGGATTTAACTGGCATAAATCCCCAGAATTTTGATCAAAATTTAAATTAAAGATATTCAAACCCATTTACATTAACCTCTTAAGCTTCATTTATCCTTAATAACGAATGAGCAATAATCTCTGTATTAAATAATACACCCATTCGATACTTCTTTGTGCGTGCATTTCTCTTTTTTATTTTCACGAGTAAATATATTTCCATGATTTAAGAGAAGTAACATCAATTCACCCGATAAATAATAATGCAAAAGTGGATTAATTTGATGGATTTAAATCCGGTTTCCATCTTGATAATGGACGGTTTTAGCAGGACCAAATTCTAGGAGTAAGGACAAAATCGAGAAGTCACACTCCATGAGTGTTCACTCAACTTAGGACGCGACCTTATACCTACGTCACTGAGGGAGGAGACAGGGGGCAGGTACGAGTATATAAGTGCAGATGCATGTGGTAATTTCACTTCACTGCTGACTCTTAACACAAGATGTATATCCAGGTGAGTGAGTATCACACTACATGTCTCAATACGAGTGTTTCCACGTTGAGGGCAGGTGAGTGCCACGCTGTGGGCAGGTGAGTGCCACGCTGTGGGCAGGTGAGTGCCACGCGGTGGGCAGGTGAGTGCCACGTTGTGGGCAGGTGAGTGCCACGTTGTGGGCAGGTGAGTGCCACGCTGTGGGCAGGTGAGTGCCACGTTGTGGGCAGGTGAGTGCCGCGCTGGGGGCAGGTGAGTGCCACGTTGTGGGCAGGTGAGTACCACGCTGTGGGCAGGTGAGTGCCACGTTGTGGGCAGGTGAGTGCCACGTTGTGGGCTGGTGAATGCCGCGCTGGGGGCAGGTGAATGCCGCGCTGGGGGCAGGTGAGTGCCGCGCTGGGGGCAGGTGAGTGCAGGTGAGCGCCACGTTGTGGGCAGGTGAGTGCCACGCTGTGGGCAGGTGAGTGCCACGTTGTGGGCAGGTGAGTGCCACGTTGTGGGCAGGTGAGTGCCACGCTGTGGGCAGGTGAGTGCCACGCTGTGGGCAGGTGAGTGCCACGTTGTGGGCAGGTGAGTGCCACGTTGTGGGCAGGTGAGTGCCACGTTGTGGGCAGGTGAGTGCCACGCTGTGGGCAGGTGAGTGCCACGTTGTGGGCAGGTGAGTGCCACGTTGTGGGTAGGTGAGTGCCGCGCTGGGGGCAGGTGAGTGCCACGTTGTGGGCTGGTGAGTGCCGCGCTGTGGGCAGGTGAGTGCCTCGCTGTGGGGAGGCGAACGGTGCCCAAATGAGTTTCCCTCAGCATTGTGTCTCGTTAAGTGGCAATACAACAGATAAGTCAATCATCAAAACTTAATTTAAAAATGTCCATTGGAATTCAAGAATGGAGGATGATAACATTACAGGTCTCCGTTATTCAGATGGTAGAACTAATAATAAGAGAAGTGAACACACGCACGCACGCACACGCGCGCGCACGCACGCGCACACACACACACACACACGCACGCGCACGCGCACACACACACACACACGCGCGCACACACACACACACACCTGTCAAACAATAATTCTTCTCCTCCAAGTCACCTTCAATTTTCCTCTTTGTACATTTCCACTTCAATCATAACTTATTGTTAAATGTGATAGCAGAACATTAAAATAATATATGTATATATTTTTTTTTCTCCAGATGTTCGTGTGTGTTGCCCTGTGTGCCTTAATGGCAGTAGCGATGCCCCAAGACTCCCAGGTAACTGGGCTTTTGCAACCAGAGGAAGGAGAACTCGGGGAACACCAGAAGATCGTCGGGGCGACCATTGACCTCCTACCAGACATCGCTGACGTCTTACAACGTGTAGGAAATCGTCAATCCACCAACTCAGAGAATGTCCAGAGAATCATTGTGGATTTCTTGCCTATCACAAGGAAGATTCTGAAGGCCACTGCAGATGTTGAGGGCCGAGAAGTTAACAAGGAGGATGTTCAGAGGATTTACGCCGCCGAAGCTGTCATGCCTTCAGTAGTCGAATTCATGGAGAAATTAAGAGATATGGACTTGTTCAGCTCTCAGAAACAACAATAAACTTATCAGCTGCAGTATAATAGACACTAAAAGCTAATTTTGCCTACCATTATTTGTAAATGTTAAAAACTCTTGGCCGGAAATAAAGTAAATTGTAAATAAAACTAAACTTCAACGATTTGTATGTTTATATTTAACAACCCGAGGCCCATAGCCTCGCCTACATACACTTAAGTTATTACTAACCTTACATGAACCTATAAGTAATACAAACTTCTTCTTTTAATGGTCCTTAACTTAACATGACTTCAAGAAGTTACTATAGCATCCCCATGAGTTTCACGCATATATCATGATTGTCAAAGTCGGTGAAATTCAGAACATATGATCATATCACCATTTGGGAAATTTCAAAACAAATTACAATACTTCAAAACTTTGGTCATCGAGTGATCACCTGGAGTTATGGAGAATGGTTAAGTGTCTTCAATACAAATGTGAACTTATGATTATAATTTCCCCTTTCTATAACCTCTGAGAACCCTAAGCGCTCAAAATGGGCCAAATTTCTTGTATTTTTCCTACTTAATAAGATAACGTATCATTTGTTTCCGGACCATAAAAATAAGGAATCATGTGGAGAGAAGTTTATCAATATAATCAATATTCTAGTGATTTTGCAAGATTTACCACAGTGTAATGTTTCTTAAAAAGCTTTATAACACATTGATTCATTATTAAATTTTCCGTTTTAATCCGAATAAGGCAAATTTTAATGTGAACTTCATTATTCCACACAACACGAGCAACACATTAAACTTTTCAAATATAATCTTGGGTTTCATTATTATCAAGGGAATATATGGCACCAAGTAATGAATATAACTGAACTATCTGTTGTGTAAATTTTGGAATCAGAGAGAGGAAGTTTGGCTCTCCACAATAAACTCATTCAGTAAAATAATTGACAAAAATAAAGTGATCCTCATTCAAAACATGAAGGAGATGTGAGTGAGGCACCAATTAAGAAGAGCTGACTGAGAATAAAGAAGTCAATGAATGAAATAATGCCAAGGGATTGCCTAGCCCGTCGCAAGGTGTCATCCTCAACCTTAAGCCAAGTAAACAATGTGTTTTTGCTCGTAACAAGGCTAATAAAGTACTTGGGTTCATACAAAGGAGTGTTAGTTACAAGACTAGCGAGGTCATCCTAAAACTGTATCTTGCTCTTGTGAGACCACACCTGGATTACGCAGTTCAGTTCTGGTCACCGTATTACAGAATGGATATAGAATCCTTGGAAAGAATTCAGAGGAGAATGACAAGACTAATCCCGGGCATTAGGAACCTTGAGTATAGAGACAGGTTAAAGCATCTTAATTTGCACTCCCTTGAGAGACGTAGAGCGAGGGGCGACCTGATAGAGGTGTATAAGTGGAAGGCAGGGCTAAACAAAGGGGACATTACAAAGGTACTCAAACTATCCACCCAGGAGCGAACTCGTAACAATGGTTTTAAATTAGACAAATTTAGATTTAGGCGTGAAATAGGTAAACACTGGTTTGGAAACAGAGTAGTGGATAATGGAACAAGTTACCAAATATCATCATTAACTCGAATACGCTGAATTGCTTCAAACATAGGTTGGATGCTCATATGAGCAATAGGGGTTGGGTGTAAACGGGACTGCCCAGTATGGGCCAATAGGCCCGCTGCAGCTTCCTCCATTCTTATGTTCTTATGTAACAAAAAACAGTGCACCGGCGACAAAAAACACACAAACGTCATGATAGAACAAAACAAGAAGGTCCACTCTCTGAATCTTTACAGGACCAGATTCTTCTTGCCAGGTGGAAGCTTTTTTTTTATAGGAATAAACGAAATATTTCAAATGGTTCGGGACTCGTTTTGAGGAGGGACCAAATTGATTACATATTATCCTCAAGATGTGTTAAGAATTTCATTATTGGCTTATTCACTTGTCAGTATCTCGTGATGTTCTCGTATCCTCCGATGAATGTGACTCTCTCTCTCTCTCTCTCTCTCTCTCTCTCTCTCTCTCTCTCTCTCACATAATAGAAAGGTAGATATCTGAGACGTCGAGATGTGCTACAGCAGCATCTGGCTTTAAATCTCTACTCTAGACAATGTAAATACCTCCGTGTTCCCTTAACATGAACCGATAAACTCATTCACTGTAGAAAGAAAGATACATTAGAAACAAGAGGTGACAGGAAATACCCTTCACATAAAAAAGTTCCCATAACACTGACAAAATATTTGCTATTAGTTTCCAAGAATTTGCAAATCTTGAAAGAAAAACACCCCAAATAATCTTAGCTCCAGGTACAGTGTCAGGGAACATGTCCTTAATAATAACATTAAAAGAAATCAAAATTGTCAGCATGATAACCTTTTAACATCTGCACAGAGAAATGGTGATGAAGTGTGGAAAGCTGTATAGACCTCGTTGCCTTGAACACCGCGACTTTCCAATGTTACGGTTGTGATGATGATTATGATGATGATGATGATGATGGTGGTGATGATGATGGCTCCATATACAAGTCATAAAGAACTCTATATCCTAAGAAAGTCAAACCCAGAAGACTTGAAAGATTTGGCTCTGGTTGGCCAAGACGGAGATATACTTGACTGATTGAGACAGCCACGTCTACTATTAACGAAGTATAATTTTGTCTAAACTTCTAATATATTCCTTACTTTTTCATGAAGCATTCAAAATTATTTCAAGATTAATTTATTTGGAATGAATTTTGAAAAATCTAATTCTCTCATAAGTTTGTCATTGGTCAGATAAGGCGAACTGAGCGTGTTTTACTTCTTTTTTCAATTCGATATTTAAGACCCGTTGTCTCTTGACCATATGGCATTGTTCGGTAGTGATAATTTTGTGGGGGAAATCGCTGATTGGTTGTTAGCTATTTGGGCCGCTTAAGGCTAGCGCCTGATCGAGGTATTAGCTTTTCCCTCTGAATGTGCCATGAGCACAAGTCAAAAGCAGCGTCTACGCATACAGAAGAGCTAACGCGTTAGCTTCTCTTTTTTTTTTTTTTTTACGGGAATTAGCCCACCCGGGCACAGGTCAAACGACCCACAACGGAGCCTGGGAAGTTTAGATAGCAAATACTTGTGCCATACTCTGTCAAATGCTTTGGAGATGTCGAGAGCCACGACAAAAGTTTCCCCATAATCCCTAAGAGAGGATGACCAAAGATGGGTGCAGTAGGAGAGCAGATCACCAGTAGATCTTGCCTGGCGAAAGCCATACTGGTGATCCGACAAAAGAGAAAGGCGTTCAAGGTGACGGAGAAAATGGGAGTTCAAGATAGTTTCGAAAATCTTAGAGAGGGATGAAGTTAGGGCAATGGGGCGATAGTTAGAGGGATTAGAATGGTCACCCTTCTTCGGGATGGGCTGAACCAAGGCATGCTTCCAAGAAGAAGGAAAAGTTTGGGTTTTGAGGCAAAGGCGAAAGAGGCGAGCAAGCACAGGGGCCAGGGCTTCAGCACACTCCCTCAGAGCACGAGGGGGTATTCCGTCCGGTCCATGCGCCTTACTCACATCCAACCTGGATAACACACCGGCAACCCTGCGAGTGGAGATTATAGGAAAGTGCATAGGTTCAGTAGGAGGTGCAGGGGTAGGAGGGATAGAGTGGGAATCGTCTAAGGTGGAATTAGAGGAGAATAAGGTGCCAAAGAGGTTGGCTTTGTCAGGGGGAGAGTTGGCTATAGAGTCATTGGGGCGGAAGAGGGGAGGAAAAGAAGGTGTGCAGAAGTTCTTACAGATGTTTTCAGTTAAGGACCAGAAGGATTTACTAGAGGAGGAATTAGTCAGGACAGCGGTCTTTCTTTTAATAAAATTCCGCTTGGTCCTACGAAGAATAGCCTTACAACGATTCCTAGAAGTAATGAAAGAGGTGTGGGTAATAGGAGAAGGAGATAATTTCATAGCTCGATATGCCCTATCTCTCACCCTGCAAGCAAGAGAGCAGGAGCGATCAAACCATGATTGTAATGTGAAAGTTTTGGTAGAAGATGGAATAAATGCACTCATACCGCCCTGTATAACCCCAGCAATGCTGTCAGCACATACCGAGGCGTCCCGAGTGGAAAAGCAACATTCATCCCAAGGAAAGTCGGTGAAGAATTCTCGCAAGGATTGTCAGCTTGCCCTCCGATAGTGCCATAGTTGACGTTTAGAGGGGGTGGGGGAGGTGGTCGTGCCCAGTTTGATTTAATAGAATTAAGGTTGTGATCAGAAGACCCTAAAGGGGCAAAAATTGAGTATGAATAGTGTGAAGGGTTAGAGGTAAAACAAAGATCAAGAATGTTAGCAAGTTGATCGTGTCGATCAGGAACGCGTGTAGGGTGTTTGATTATTTGTTCCAAATCATTAAGTAAGGAAAAAGAGAGTGCCTCAGCTCCACCTGGGTCATCCCTTGCAGAGCCAAGCCACTTTCTGTGATGTACATTGAAATCCCCTAGGTAGCTGTTAATGAATATGATGTATTTCTTTGTGTATGAACCTCTGTCCTGCGTGGCAGTGAGAACTGATACCACCCTCAGTGTCAAGACCTGACTGAATTACTCAGAATAGGCAAACTGTAATCCAAGCTTTGTCAATAAATTTGTTAAACTAATTTAAAACATCATTCACTTTATCTGCGCCAGTCACACCCAAGACCTGGAGGTGTACAGTAGCTAAAAAAGGTACCTGATAGGGTGGGTCCGATGACTTTCACAATTATACGTACAACTCGTGATGTCTCGGGAGGGTAGGTATGCGTGTCTTCACCCACCGCCATTCAGTATCCAACACAGGGAGTGAAATGACATATACATACGGTGACAAATGCTCAGGGCACCTCATAACAGTCAGAGATGGTGACTTGGTGGCTCCCAGTTGTTATGTATCGTAATGCTATCAGAGCCTGAAGGTGTGATGTTACTGAACAACATGTACACGAGATCTTAACCTAATTACTTTGCATGTCATATTTACCTTTTTTCTGATAAAATGGTTTCTATGCAATTCAAAAGGCTGGCTATAGCCAAAAAAAATATGGTTACCTTTGTTATCAAGAGCAACTTTATTAATAAAGTGGCGCCCCTAAACTTAACATTTACCCTTAGTACATATTGATCATTACTC